ATGTGCGTGCGTGCATGCATACATGCGTATTTGTGTGTGTGTGTGTGTGTGTGTGAGTGTGTGTGCGTGTCTGTGTGTGTGTGTGTGCGTGAGATTTGTTTTTAGAGCAACTAATATGCAGATGTAATTCTGTTTTGATTAGGTTTCGTTTCATGTGCGTGCGTGCATACATGCGTATTTGTGTGTGTGTGTGTGTGTGTGTGTGTGTGTGTGTGTGTCTGTGTGTGTGTTTGCGTATGCACGTGTGCGTGCATGCGCGTGCGTGTGAGCTTGCATGTGCACGTGTGCGCGTGCGTGCGTACATTCGTGCTTGTGCGTGCGCGTTTGTGCGTGTGAGCTTGCATGTGCGCGTGTGCGTGCGCGTGCGTGCGTACATTCGTGCTTGTGCATGCGCGTTTGTGCGTGTGTGCGTGCGTGCGCGTGCGTGCGTACATTTGTGCATGTGCGTGTCTCGGTAGTGCATCGTAGTGTTACGACGATGCGTTCATTCCATGTTCTCTGTACCTGTAGCTGGATCTCCCCGCGCGCCGCACAGGCGACGCAGCGAACGTCCGTCGCAGCGCGTCCCCCTACAGGTGGCGCCGGCGCGATCGCCCGCACGGCTGCTCCTCGTGTCGGCGGTCGCGGTCGTAGCGCCACCTGGTGGCTGCAGTCGCGGTCGTAGCGCCACCTAGTGGCGGTAGTCGCCGGATGTAGCGCCCCCTGGTGGCGGCAGTCGCGGTCGTAGCGCCACCTAGTGGCGGTAGTCGCGGACGTAGCGCCCCCTGGCGGCGGCAGTCGCGGACGTAGCACAATCTGGTGGCGGCAGTCGCAGTTGCAGCACCACCTCGTGGCGGCAGTCGCGGACGTAGCGCCGCCTGGTGGCTGCAGTCGCGGGCGGATTAGTATGAGCATCCGTGTAGTTTAGACGCGAGGACGTGGCCGGAGCGCGTCACAACAGATCCACAATCAATCGGTCGATCGATTGATTTTATCATTGATTAAATAATCGATCGCGTTATCCCTTGTGTGATTGTTCTTATAATCGATTGAACGATCGATCATGCTATCGACCGATCGATCGAGTGATCGATCGATCGATCGATTGATTGATAATTTGATCGATATCGAGCACGTTATCCATTACATCGTCGATTAGCGTGAAAAGATGTTCGGATGTTGTTGTTGTTGTTGTTGTTGTTGTTGTTTTGTACCAGTTATATTCTTGATGCAACAACGTATTCCAGTTGGTCCGAGTGTCGGGAACAAAACAATTCCTAACATCGCGGTCTTAGCATGAACTTTTTACTTGTTCGCACGTAGACCGGACCTCTATGCGTGAGAAACTCGTGACCTCACCACGTTTCAATCGGCGGTTCTACTTCGAGGAAAGGTCTCTAGTTTTTAAGGTCTTTAGAATGTTACGATTAACGTTGAGAATGAGATTTATTAATGATCACATACCGATACACGCATGTACATCGCGTATCCGAAATGAACTGACTATAATAAATGTGCATGCATTATTTAATTGGCTCAAATCTCAAAATTTATGCCATATGTAATATTGTAAATATTATATGTATATATAAGACACTACATACGTTACTATACACTGATCGATATATTGCCCAGGTCGTCTTCCCGGACTATACTTCTCATCTACTATATATCACTACAGTCATAGTACCTAGACTTAATAGTAATGGCTAATCATATATACATATTACAGGGGCGCTAGGATCGAGCGGGGGGGATGGGATGCAACATCCCGCCCGCCTTATTGCACGTGGGGGGGATTGGCGGTGTACAACTCATCGCCCCCCCCTTCAGGAGAAACAGTGGGGGATTCCCAAATTCTTCGCGGGCGAGGACGCCGCATGACCCCGCCCTGTGTGTTGCTGTACCACCCGCGGCACCGCGCCGTGCCCCTGTTCACGACAAACTGCATTGCGCCAACTTTCGAACATTGTGTCAGACCCCGCAGCTTCAAAAATTGTTCTGGCGGCCGCCTGTAGAGTACTCGGCTCAACAATAGACCTGATGACGCCCTATCGAATAATTCTGGTAGTGCGAATCAAAAGTCGGTCCAAAGTGAGTGAGAGCGTGACAGCCGGGTTGACAGGGCGTAGTTCAGCAGGGGATGGGGGTAATCCCCCCATCACCTTATTGTAGTGGGAGGTGGCTTTCATCCCCCCTCTTACTTTCAGGAGAAACTTGGGTGAAAAATTTGAAAATATTTTGACAACAATAAATACTGAGTATTATCTATCTAACACCCAACTCCGTCCATCGCTATTCATACTCTCGTTACATGTATCAGTACAGAAATGAGCACGTGCACATAATATTTACTGTAAAAATGGCTGTAACTCGTTCCAAGAATGACATTATTCTGAAACTCAGATCGTTAATCTTTAGACCGGGTTCCCGGCCATAGTACGATTTTTTGCCAAAGAGTCCCAAGTCTTATCACTGCTCATGAAATCGCGTTAGAATCCTTTGCTTTATTGCATAAATTATAAATAGACGCTATTGAGAGTTGTGGATGTGTGAATCCTTCACTGGGGATTGAATGGGAAAAAATTTATTTTTATCTCACTGTTTGGGGGGGGATGGGGGTCTGAGACCGACCTGGAATGTATATTCCTGATTTTGTTATAAAGGCGAAAAAAGCACTTTTGTTTCAAATCTGGTTGTTTTTCTCAATATTTTTTGCAAGTTTAACGTTCCAGTAAAAAATATACGTTTCTATCAAAATGTCA